GAGGAATCCACAGTTTTTTGTTGAAAGACATGTTCATCACACTGTTGGAGTTATGGTTTGCTATAGCTTATGGTTCCACGTCACCTTTAATCTTCATCAGAGGTAACATGAACGCGCAGCGTTATATCCACGAAGTTCTAGAACCCCATCTTTTACCCTATCTTGACACCCTGGCAGATCCAATTTTCCAACAAGATAATGCCCGACCACATGTTGCAAGAGTCACAATAGTCTTCTTTCAACATAATGATGTCACATTGTTACCATGGCCACCAAGATCTCCCGACTTATCCCCAATTGAGCACGTGTGGGATATGATGGGTAGGGGATTGCTCAATTTGCAACGTCCTCCTCATACTCTAGAAGCACTTCGAGAGGGGTTGGTGGTTGCCTGGAATGAGATACCACAGGAGGACATTGACCACCTGATCAGAAGCATGCCTAGACGCGTTGGAGAATGCGTAGCACATCAGGGTGCATCCACACATTATTAAAGGTCAAAGGGCTTTAAAGCAGTGCAATCATTTTGAAATTTTTATCATTTACTTATTATGCTTCATTAAGTACTTATACAAAATTTTATTAAAATAAAACCATTTAAACTGGGTGTTATATGTCACTTAGTATATATTCGATGAAGTTAGACAATGGAACGGTTTTTATTTTTTTACTCAAAAATGTCGCCTCGAAGAAAAACAATTCGAGAGAGATCATTTGTTTAAAATTGAACGGGGAATTGAAAAATAATTTTTATTTGGCAAAAAATCATTGGCGTACTATTTTTTCTTAAAAAATATTGAAGTCACTACCCGTACGCACGCCACTGTTAAAGCTAAAAATTATTTTTGCTTTGGAAAATATGCAGCTTTTTGTAATGAAACATTTTTGTTTATAAAGCCAACTAACATTAATTTTCCATTTAGATTCACACCCTTAAATATTCGTATACCATTAAGGAACGCCCTATATGATATCATTTTATCAGATTCTTGTAAATTACTTAGGACATATTTTGACTGTAAACTAAATTTGCATGAATTTAAGAATTTACAACATTAAGATGTCCTAAATGAGAAAGCCCTTATCATTGCTCTTATTGTGATATGAAATGAACAGAGTATTTACTGTCCAAAATAGAATCGCCAGATCAATTTTCGTAATGAAGCCACTTGACTCTTACATTACCCTGTATTTCAATTTTTAAATATGTTACTTACTTTAAGAAGTTTAATAGCCTGTCCCCAATTAACGGTCATCAAAATTATAATACTAGAAATCATCCAAACACATACCACAACACATTAAAAACATCACCCGCCTATAACTGCATCAAATTTGCAATAAATTACCAGTTGAGATACAGCAAATCAGTAATTATTTTCGATCAAAAAATGAAGTTAAAAAATTATTAGCATCAAACGCATTTTATAACATAAGTGAGTATATGCAAAGTACGACCTTGAGTACGTAAAGATAATAATAATAATAATAATAATAATATTTATTCGCCAAAATACAAAAAATGGGCAAATAAATACGAAAAAACCACAGAAGGCATCGCCTGTGTGTCGTTTATATCTTAATAACTAACAATCAATCATATATGTATATAACAATTATTGTTAAATCAAAAAGGTATTAATGTAATTGGAATTTTGTAGTTTTAGTTTTCTATATAATTATGTATAGTCATTCGCTGCACATTACTAACCCAGTCTTTCAATTTTCTTCTACATTTTTTTCCAAAATTAAGTATCTTTATTTCGTTTGGTACTACATTATATAATTTAGCTGCTAAGAATTTAAATGATTTTTTGAATAATGTTTTGTGTGGTCTTTGGATATTAGATGAGCCGATTCGAAATCGTGTGTTATGCTCGTGTTTATAGGATTTTTTCTTTTTATTACAATACTTATGGTACAAGGTGGTGGCATGTAAGAAATAAAGTTGTCTTGTATAAAGTATCCCTATTTCTTGATACAAGTTGTTCGTTGGATATAATCTTGGCTTATGGAAAATGGCTTTCAAAACAGTTTTTTGTGCTATATTCAGGTCAGAAATATATGTCTTGCAGGCGGCACCCCAGGCTGTGATGCCGTATATTATATGGGTTTCAACTAAGGCATGGTATAGGATTCGCAGATAATTTTCTGTAAGAATATTAGCAAGCAGTTTGAGTTTATATGCAACATTTCTAATTTTTTTGATATCATATTTAATATGGTTATCCCACCTTAGATGTGAGTCTATAAATATTCCAAGATATTTCAAAGTGTTAACTCTATCGATTTTGGTCTTTTGGCCATGATAATTAACGGAAATTTGTTCGAAGGTGGGTAAAAATTTTGAATAGGATGTAAATGCAATAAATTTTGTTTTTTTGAAGTTAACTGTTAAAATTTTAGTATCAAACCAGTCAATGATCCTTATAAAATCCTGTTCAGCTCTTTGCTTCAGTGTGCTCCAGTCATCAGCTTTATATAATACGAGGGTGTCATCTGCAAAACATATAATCTTTCCAGAACTGTTAATTTTGAATAAGTCATTTAAGTAGAGACTAAATAATAGTGGGCATAGTACTGTTCCTTGAGGCACACCACACTTGATGTACATTTTTTTACTGTAAGTGTTAGTGATTTTGACAGTCTGTGCCCGACTTGAAAGGTAATTTTTTAAAAGGATTTGTGACGCTCCCCTAAATCCCAATCTTTCCATAACTTTCAGAAGCTCGACATGGATAACCGTATCAAAGGCATTTTTTAGATCAACAAAGATACCAATAGTAGGTATCTTTTTGTTGACATTAGAGTTAATTTCACCCATTGCAGCCAAAATTGCATCTGTACTAAATGCATATTGGTCAGAACATATAATTTTGTTTTTGTCCAAAAATTGTAATATCCTTTTTTGTAGTAATTTTTCGAAAATTTTGGCTATATTCGATAGTACTGATATGGGTCTATAATTTGATGTTTCCATTCTGTCACCGCTTTTATAAACAGGAGTAATAACAGTTGTTTAAATGCATCAGGACAAATTCCAGATGGAAATGAACATTTATATGAATTGTTATATTTATATTTTTATATACTTTATACTTATAATATGTAGCTTGTGAGCATCACTGAAAACAGCGACCGACTGTAACTGAGAAGAAACAGAAGAAGGAAGGCTAATGTCCTCTCTAATAGCTCGCTCTATATAAAATATAGCCCGTCATTACAAAAGACTTAGGAGATATTTCAGCATTTTTAAAATAGCGTCCAAATTCATTTATAATTCGCCCTGGTAATTTGAGATCGCTGTCGTAATGATAAGGTAGGCTTTACGTAAATATTAGACATTACCTAGTGTACATTATGTTTTGCGGTGGCCTGCCTCTAGAGAACGGTCGCTTCTCTGCCGCCGCGCTGCGCCCTGCCAACGATCCGACTGCATAATTTCACATAATTCGCGGATTTCGTATGTTATTTACCGGCATAAATGAATTTTATGCATATGTAATACTCAATAGTGATTTCAGGGTGCATTTTTATGAGAAGGACGAGTAAATCACGTCCTTTGTGCTTCTCAGAAACTTAGGTATACTTCGCTTGGCAAATCCTTTATGGCGAGATCCACGGCGTCCGTCAAGTAGATTTACTCGGTCATTCTACTGACAGCACTTCACATAATTTGCATTGTTTAATTCTCGATACTCCGGTAATAAAAGGGTACTATAAAGGTTTTGCAATACAGCTTTATTCATTGACTTCGTTCGAAGTGTACCATTCCTGACTTTGGCTGCGGGTTTTTAATAGACTGTATGACTTTAGGCAGGCACTGTTCCGTTTACCACTTGGCTGTGACTATCTTCTGGGTGTCCTAAACGACACGCTCGAAAATTTGAAAAATACAGGTATCATGTTCTTGGCAAATCGAGATTTTCTGGCAGCTACGGGTGTGTCCTCGTCATCAAAGACCCAAACTTTGCTTTGAGCTTTGGTCGACACATCGCACAGTGTGTTCCTTTATAGGGATCAGGGACAAAATTCGATATCTTAAAAACTAGTGGTCCTATTTGAATTCTGTAAACGCAGGGCGATTACTTATTTAAGTAGCTTTCTAAAGTATGACAAAAATTATTTAAAATAATAAGAAGGGGTGGGGGAGCATTTCGCATAAATCGTTTTTTTTTTTGTAAAAGTCAAAATATTAAGTTGATGATCTCGAATAAATTGGGATAAGGTAGGATATTATTGTATCAGTCTTAAGAGAGACAAAAAAGTCACTCTTTTATTTTTCAAGATCTTTACCGAATGATTGAAAAGATATTGTAGCCGACTTGTGGCGGGCGCAATATGATTTATTAAATTTGTCTATCTATTTGAAAAAATAATAAGAATAATTCAAATAAAAAATAAATCTGTATAATTTGAAATTGACATTTAGGTTTTTATTTAAAAAAATATATTTAACAAAATAACAATTACTTAGTAGGTAATGTATGAAATAATAATATAAACTATATTAAAAAAATAACACCAAATATACCCATTCTAATCGGAATAGGATTTCTTGCTCGGTGCTGTGTCATTCGTTATTGTACCTAAGTCAATACCTAAAACAACATTTTCTTGCTTTTTTAAATAGTTCTGAACTGCCTCGTTGCATTTCTTATATTTTTTTGAGCTCACCTCCCTTTTTGATGATATAAAAGGATCAGAAGTAAGTAAAACAACACGCATGAGATCCTTATTCGTATCTGTTCTTGAACATTTTCTGGTGTGAGATAATCGATGTTTCCTAACCTCTTTATGGCGAGCTTCAAGCGCATCCTCCGACAGTTCTCCAATGGGCAAACAAAATGCATCAATTATCTCACACCCATGAACAAGGACCTTATGTACCGTGTTTGGCATGTTGTACCACTTATAAAGGTGGATATACAAATTTCTTGCTTCTTCCAGCAATGACTCAAGCTTTTCCATATCAATAGCGCAACCACTAGCTAACACTCCTAAGATGATCGCAAATTTCTCGATTCCCTGTCAACCCCTGTGATATCTGAACTTGTTTGTGGATTGTGGAAAAAAATTCTGGCCGTATTGCCATCATTTGAGGAGCCATACCCGGGTTTTGGTTTGTCAACTACTAGAGACAGCTTGGCTCTGAACTCTGCTTGGATTCGTTTTTTGTTTGCTTCGACTATAGCTTTGTTTTCAGGCCCACGAACCTGCCAAGATGTAATTGGCAGGCGGTATCCAATATGGAGTAAGCATTCAAAAAAACGAATCCAGCAGTGTAAAGTTGACAAACCAAACCGGTAATTGTCTACGTTAGGAGGACGATTAATCCCTGCTAACGTGTTCATGTCCTTGGGTGTGGCTCCGCAAATGATGCACTTCATAGTTGAATTTGTCTCTGATAGAACGTTTCCAACACTGCCGTCCAACATTGTTAACATCATATCAACGTCAATTATATAAGAGTGCCCTTCTTTTGTTTTAATCTCAATGGGAATCAAATTTTCAATTTTTGTTATTATTTCCTTTTCCGTATTCCGCACTAAATCAGCATTTTCCTTTTTAAATAAAAACTTGAACGGCCTACAATATAAAGTAGATGAAGGGCTCTCAGTTTTCCACAATACCTTATTCGTTTCCATATCAATCAATCTGAGTGGCGTCATTGCTACAAGAAACAGAAATTCGTCGGTGTTTTCTAAATCAGAAAATTTCTATTCCCAGAACTGCCATCAAATCCCCACTTGCATATCACTTTAATCCGACAATCTCTCTCTTCAAAATTTATTATTTCAAGGATACTTTCAGCTGTTTTCTGTACAAGTTCTTGCAAATCAACTTCTGCAGAAATTTCAGTAATAATAAATTGTGAAGGGAGGATAGCATTTTTTGTTTTCTGTGATTCTTTATAACTAGGAAGGCACTTCTGGGCCTTACCATTAATAACAGACCTAAGTAGCAAATACTTTCTTACGGATATATCCAAATCTACCATAAGGGCTAAAGCTTCAGCTGTACTAAAACTAAAAATTTGTGGCGAGACCTCACTGTGATTGCTTCCAGAAACGACATTTACAACAAATTGAAGTTCATTTGCAGATCTGTCTGTGGTTAGTTCGGCTACACGTCTTCGTTTTGTTTTCTTCGATGCCTCTTCAAATGGCACCCGTGGCCGTCCAACTGAGCGACAAGGAGGTTCTTGTTCCTCATCCGAAGATGTGTTTTCTTCAGAATCATTATTTATTCTATATATAATCTTGTCTAACCAATATACCTGATTTTGTAAAAGTCGATTCCGAGATTGTCCTACTTTCTGCCATTTATTTGCCATTTTCAACCCAAACAACTGGCTGCATTTCATAATATTACTTTTAAGATGTTTGGAAGGTTCATCTGTTATATCAATAAGAGATAATATCTTTTCATAAACCATCTGTTTTCTATTTCCTCTCGGTGCTTCTATCCACACATCAATCAAATCTCTATTTCTGACAATAGCACCATGTCCTAAAAAAAATATATCTCCCTTAGACGTGGCATGACGTGATTTAAACTTTTTATCAAAACTTACTATGGACAGATAAACAATAAATAAAAAATGTTTAGGGTGATGGGAGGTGATTTTTGTAAAACTCTAAACAAAGTCAAAAGTTTAAAAAAAATTAAAAAATCGGTAATAGTCACTTTAACTTAAAAAATTATCTAATTATAATTATATTTTAAATAAATCTATACATCAATATAATGTACTTACCAGCCTCATTACCAGCCATATTGGAAAAGTTAAAATATTTAAATATTTCGACACAAAATTTATATCTTTCCCGAGCAATAAAACAGAGAGATTTTCCGCCTTCTTGACAGGTCTCGACATGTCTAACTTTAAAGTTGCTAAAATAGGTAAATCGCAGCCAACTTGATTAAAGTACTATACTTACGTGTTGCAGTGACTATTTATCTATCCAATGGTATAATAAAAGCAACAGAATTCTAATGTCAAAGATTATGTTTTTGAGTAATTTTGTCCATTGGGCGCCACACTGTGCATCGCAATAATAGAGCCAAGTCTTGTCATCTGTCACGATGCTGTCCACATACCGAAATTGCCCTTTATCAAACATTTTCAGCATCTTTCAGCACCAAGTCGTACGACGAGTCTTCTGCTCTTGCTTCAGACTATGCGGTTCCCAGAGAGAACAAAGTTTCTTTATGTGGTGGTGCATGAAGGCGTAAACATCTCCTCTATCTGCTGGTATGTCACTCTTCGGTCTTCTTCAAGCAGTAATGTTTCCCTTTGCGGCATTCCTTCCCTCTCAGCGTCCTCCAGAGTGAAATAGCCCCTTTGGAATTCTCCGTACCACCTGAATATAGTCATACGATGAGTAGAGTGATTTTTTAATGCAAGCGTTATTTATTCTAAGCACTGGTCTATGCTTAAGCCGCGCGCAAAGTTACACCCTAAAACTGCCCTTATCTCACTACGTGACCACGATGACATAGTCCTCACCACGAATGAACAACTAAATCGACAGACGTGCTGCTGTCGACTACTACGCACTCATGGACATATCTCAATATGCAGAAACATGCAGCCTCCCGCGTCCGTTTGTAAAATCATACTGCAAATCTTTTATAGTACCCTTTGTACACCAGGATTGCCAGGAGTCGCGATTTTTCGCCAAAGTGGTTTGTCATCTTCAAACGGCGTCTAAAATGGATAGATTGGCGATTTGCTACAATATCCAGCAAATTGCTATTATCTAGCGATTTTTAACATTTCTGACACCAATTAATTTTTGATCAATTGCTGCTGATATATGTATAGATTGATGAAACATGAAACGAGGCCCATTGTAAGTTCTGTGCTTCAAGCACAATGGCGTTTATGGTCAAATGTCATTTCAAGGTTTCGTGTTCCGATCATATAAACGACACTTTTGACACAGTGTTAGGAGGATGTATACTTTACCTGAAGTCACTTGAAACACTGTGAAATACCGGGTGCATTTTATATATCTATATTTAACACGCTCTGTTGCTGCAAAAATCGCCAAATTTCGCGTATAAGATCAAAGGCAGTTTTTAAAAAAAAAAAACAGAAATCCCACCACCTCTTCCTTTTATTCATAAAAAAAAGTCGTGGCAAGTTCTGAACCTCAGAGCCAAACTAGGTCAAGCTGAAATGAGTACTTTTAAGATAATTGTACTTGAAATATTTTCCTTGCATTGTATTGTATGCATCTCAACATGAGCTAGAAAGTCGTAGCTTCCTTATTATCATTACTACTTGATAAAATTGCTATACATGTATACTTTATCTGAAGTCACTTGAAACACTGTGAAATACCGGGTGCGTTTTATATATCTATGTATATTTAACACGCTCTGTTGCTGCAAAAATCGCCAAATTTCGCAGCAAATATCTCCCGTATAAGATCAAAGGCAGTTTCACCGGTCCACGTGGAGTAAAGCACGCCTATGCGTGGACATAGCCAATGAGAAAGCGTGTATTTCAGAGCTCCGAACAAGTGCAGGTGGCTACTGAAAATTGAAACAGTTTAGCCAGTGCCGTGTAGCGGTGAATAAACGTGTTTTCTTTAGTCTGTCCGTGTTTTTTCATAGATTTTATTAGTTTGTGTGTTTTTGACTTTTGAATACTCAGTTTACTTGTTGATTTAATTGTTGTGTTGATTGTTCTTGTGTGTCCTAAATATGGCTCTTTGGAGACCTTGGGAAAATGCTCCAAGCCACGAGGAGATGGTTGATGAACCTGTGCAGGCAGAATTCTTTCATAAAGATTTAGAGGAACAGACCCAAAGAGTAATCCTAAATATGTATGATTGTCTGAAAAACGAAAATCCAGATTCCTCGCAAAATCAAATTTTAAACAGAATTTGTATCCTGACAAAAATCAGTCGGTCTACCATTTATCGGGTTATAAAAAGGGGAGATGTAGTCAACCATTCCTTCCACAGAAAGCGCATAGGGCAAAAATTAAAAAGAATAGACGTGGGTTTTCAGGAAGATATTCGTCGTATAATATACGGATTTTATAAAGAAAATTTGGTGCCCACGTTGGAAATGATACGGGATAAATTAAAAGATTATCCTGAAGATTTTTATAATTACAAATGCTTAGACTCACTGCACTGTATTGTAAAACTGTGTGGTTTTCAATACAAAAAATTAGATAAAAGAATGGTGAGTATGGAGTCGTCTCGAATCGTTGAATTGCGCCAAGAATTTTTGAACAAAGTTAAAATCTATAGAGAGCAGAAAAGAAATCTGATTTACCTGGATGAAACGTGGTATGATACCCATGATGTTGTGCAGTACGGCTGGGTTGACGACAGCAACAAGTGCATTTTAAATGCACCATGCAACCGTGGAAAACGAATCATTATTCTCCATGCTGGCAGTGAAAATGGATTTATACCTAATGCCTTGCTGTTATCTGCCAAAAATATCAAAGAATCATGTGCCGACTATCATGAGGACATGACCTCCGACTTATTTGAAAAGTGGATAGAGCAGCAGTTAATACCACACATTTCCCCAAATTCAGTGATTATTATGGACAATGCGCCATACCATTCCCGACAGAAAAACAAAATTCCGAATATAGGCACAAAAAAACAAGACATTATTGATTTTATGAAGGATAAGGGAATGGAAATACCACAAAAATCAACCAAAGCCATATTATTGGATCTTATTAAAAGACAAAAATTTGAAAAAGAGTATGTTGTTGACAATCTGCTTCAGCAAAATGGCCATGAAGTATTACGTCTACCTCCCTATTACTGCATTTTTAAACCGATTGAGTTGGTCTGGGCTGCTTTAAAAAAAAAGTAAGAAAACATAATCAGACCCCTCAATTAAGTGAATCGCTATTGGCCACAATAAGAGATGCTGCCACAGACCTATGGAAGCAGTGTTCTAGGCATATTATTGAAAAAGAAAATGAATATTGTGTTTTGCCTCCTGTAAATCCCGTTGTAATTCCTCTACAAGATGACTCTAGCGACAGTTCCGAAGGCGAGGATGATATATAAATACCTATAATGTAAGTCTTTATATACCTTTTTATATACCTACCTGCTATGTAAATATTTGCGTATGTCAAACGTTGGAATTCTGTAATTTTTCCATTTCTTAACTTTCAGTCAACATAAATTAAACTCCCAATATAAGTATTTTTCATCCCAAATCAAAAAAATAAGAAGATAGTAAAATCCATTCATTGTGATATAAAAACATTATTATTATCGTTCTAAATAAATCACCGCACGCCTATGATACGTCATGAAATTACAAAGGACGCGCCGACCAAATGTTTTTATGCTATTTCAAGTGACTTCAGATATACCATACGATTATTACCGTTTTTGTACGGAAGAGAGAACCCACCAAAAGTTCACTGGGACAAGGTAAATAGGCAGAAAATTATTAACCCCCCGATCTTCAATTTTCAATACTCGGTGCGCCTCCCTTTCCTCCCGCTTTTCTGTTGTCACGAGATCACAAGAGCATTCGCTCGCCAGAGGTCGCCCCACCTCCCTACCGCTTTTAAATTAATTGTTAATTTTTGGAGTAATTGACATACAAAATGCAACACCCAGAATTATTTATTGTTTTATTGTTTGTTCTGTTATCGGTACTGATCGATGACCAACTGGCAGATCCTTATGTTCACTATCATCCTATGCTCGAATAGAAAATAGAATATCCATTACTTAATACGAGGGATGTCTTTTAAGTTTTGCATATAGAAACATAGTAGGCCGCGCGGATCGAACGTCAGTACTGAATCTTAACCTCACTCTTTAGTAAACTTAAATTCAAAGTTTCACAACAGTACGTGCAATGTTCTCACTACAGTGAATTTTTAAGTGACACCAAGTCAGTAGAAAAATGGAATTCAACCGAGAACATTTTCGCGCCATAATTTATTACTACTTTCAGCGACAATTATCGCAACAAGAGTGCCTTGCTGAGTTACTGTCTGTTTTCGGCAACGAAGCGCCACATCAGTCGACAATTTCCCGTTGGTATGGAGAATTAAAAAAAAAGCGGGTCATATTGCAACCATTCCTCTTAATGAGCAAAGAACTGTTACTGCGGATTGGTATACAACCATTTGTTTGCCAAAAGTCATCACCGAGCTTCGAAAAATTTTAAATGACATCCCTCGTATTACCACTATTTCACTATTTTACAGGTTTTTTTTCAACCAATATCTTTTATTCGTCTTTTCCTTTTGCTTGTTTTTTTATTTTAATATATTTTTTTACTTTATACTGATCTATTTCTTTTTTCAATATTTTGTTGTTTTTTTTTAATTTAATATATTCTTTTACTTTATACTGATCTGTTTCTTTTTTCAATATTTTCTTGTTTTCTTCATTTTTTCAAACAAACTTATTATAATTTACACCTTATAATGTTACGCGTATTTCCTGTCAATGCTTGTATAAAAGTTCGTAAACTTGCTGGTTTTAATAACTGAGAATTGAGTCTAAATTTAGAGGCAAAAGAAGGTGTTTCCCTGAAATTTGGTACAATATTTTCTCTATTAGAACTTCTACATTCTAATATGAGATGCTGCAAGGTTCCTATATTTCGGCAACTGCAATGTAGATCATCTCCAAATCCGAACAGATGAGCTTCAACACATTATTAACATTAACATCTCAGCTATGTTTGCTAAATTTCGAGTTAAAATTTTAATCACTTTCTATTTATGAGTAGACAAAACTTGTGAAAGTATGCTCAAAATTACAACACTCCTAGTCGGTACTGCATTTTCT